CAAGGGAGATGCATCAGTTCTACCAGGTAACTGGTTATCAAAGCACACCACAAAAACAGACTGAATCACCTGATTCCATGAATGTTGGTAACAAATAGTTGAGACAAATCATGAGATAAATGTTTACACTTCTTCTCAACGTGTTTTCAGAAAATTTTTGAACTTTATCCCTTAAAAAGTTTGGACCACCTTCGTGTGTTCATAAACAATTTGTCTTCAAACTAAACTTTTCTTGCTAAATTCGGTTATATAACGTAGCATTTATACTCTATTGATTGCTATTGTTATTCCAGCCTTAAATTAAGTCTCCTCGTCTGATCTTGTTTTCATTTTATCGCTCCTTCAAGTTCTTACCCCCTTTTATATCAGTATTCCTGATAAATGCCTATGTGATCAGACTGTTAGAAATGTGTTGCAAAAATATGTTTCACGATTTAGACAAATACCCGGTCACCTTGACGATTTTGAACGGAGGGTGCACAACATCCAGAGCCTTTCTAGGAAAAGAATGACACTGATACGTTAGCAAGAAACAGAAACATTTAGCAGCTGCTGGGCCTGGTGAACCAATATCTGATATGCATGAATCGTTCAAGATTAAAAATACAAACTTAAGTCGAACTTGACCCCTGCCCGTTTCACTAGTTATTCATGTAAATGGTTTGTCTCTTAATTATCTTTGTAAAGTGTAGCCTTTGAGGTGATATTAATTCTGTGTTGATCTGAACAAATCGTTGCTACTTGGCTTAGTAAAAGGGCTGATAGACATGTAATGCAAAAAGGCACAGAACTAATAAACTAGACGTGATCCTGCAGAACCTGAACTAAATTCAGATGTCTTCAGGTGAAAAACACTAGGAGTGTTAACTTAAGCAAGAGGTTATAAGAAAACACGGTATACACAGAACTGGACAACCCAATAGTAAAGTTAACCAACAAATGAACATCACATGATCACCAAAACAAAAAGTATTACTAAGGTAAAGTTAAACTGTTATTTCTCAGTCAAACAATATAGTGCTGAATGAGCACTAGTGACGAGAAATTCATCTGGCACAATACCATGTTAAATTGGAGTCAACAGAATGGTTAGAAAACTAAAGTAAATCCTGCAAGTATCCAATTTCCATAATAATTCAGTCAGTATAACACCAATGAAATGTGAAAAGGGCCAATGAAGCCTACTGAATTTTGAAAGTAGCATACTATCATATCGAGAGACTAATATTGACCAAAACTGAAAGTGTACATCTTAACGATGCGTATAATAGACGTGATGTGTAAGGGTTGCATACAGCCACTGTATTATTATTTTATTATTTGTCCTTTGGGTTCCTAGTGAAAAATAAGGCTTCAGTAGCGCGTCACCATTTCACTCTGTTATTTGCAGTGTCTCTAACCTGGCTTCACAACTGCTGACAAGCTTTCATTTCTTCCTCACCCTATCTCCTCCATGTCACCCTCGGCACCGACGCCCATTTCATCGTTTCCCACTTAAATTCTACTCAAGAACCTGGCCTACTTTGGTGCGTAATGTCTTCGAATGGTCTTCTCAGTGTGTGCCCAATCCAATTCATTTCCACTTTCTTCTGCATATTTGTTGAGGGATAGGCTCTTTGTTGGTTTGTTGCCATAGTTCCTTGTCGCTTATTCAATTTGGTCATCTGATCTTCAATATCAGGCGTAGGTAGCTGTTAATGCATGTCTGAAGATTGTTGGAAATGCTTTTCATCTACCCCGTTTCTGGACCATTTAGAAGCATCCAGTCGAAGTTAGTGTTGAATATTCTGATCTTGTTCACGCTTAATGCTGTTTGCAGTAGATCTCCACACTAATTTCAGGTTAACGAAAGCCTGTCTAGCCTTTCAAATCCTGGCTTTGACATCCTAAAGTGTGCTGCCGCCTGTAGATGAAACGACGCTACCTGTGTAGGTGAAAGAGATTACTTCCTTTACATTTCTCCCATTGGCGGTGATTGGTGCTTATCGTTGTTGCTGTTTGTGCTGGTTGGTTATCTTCATCACTTCTGTCTTCTCTGCGTTCACTTGAAGGAAGTCCCGTCACTGCTTCCTCTTCTGTCAATTTGATGGTTTTTATCTGTAGATCTTCGGGTTTGTGCTGCACTAGACATAAATCGTCGGCAAAGTCCAAAGCTTCTCCTGGGCTCTTTTCATCACTCCAACTAGTGTATGCCTATCTTTACGCTCTTCACAGCTTGCTGCATGATCCAGTCAAGTTGACCAAAGTGAGGAAAATCATCGCTGATAGTGGGCAGCTTTGTCTTACTTCTGTTTTCACGCCAAAGGCGTCACTGCGCCTCCCATTGTGATTAACTTGGCATGTGGCGTCGTCATATAGCACATAGCTGTTGAATGAAGTTGATAAGGGTTTGTGACACTGAAACCGTAGCGTTGAAACAACTGCCAAATTACTTCTCGGTCGACGCTGTCGAAGCCACTTTCAGAATCCATGAAGTTCAGGTTGAGAGTTGACTGCCATTCTATGCTCTGTTCTATGATAATGCGTAGCGTTGCAGTTTGATCCCCACATGACTTGTTCTTCTTGAAACCAGTCACTCAACTTGTTCCGGTCGTAATTTTGAATGCAGCGCATTTTTCGGTCTCTCCAGGGTGATGTGGCTTAATATTTTGCTTGGTGTGGACAAGGATAGCAGCATGATTCCACACCTGTTCTCTTAAAGACTTGGGTCCCCATTCTTTAGGAGTTTGACAAAATAGCCCGGTAGGTAGCTTTCCTTTCTTCCAAACCTTCTGCAGCAGTCGTGTGAGTGTGTTCGCTATTGTCCTTGTGTCTGTTTTCAGTGCTTCTGGAGGAATTCCATCTGGTTCTGCTGATTTCCCGGATTTCAGTAGCTTTATGGAGTTCAGGACTACACTTCTACCTTTGTCAGAGGGCTTGTGTTCACTGATAGTTCTTTGGTTGGGCTGCTGGTAGTATTTCTGGACGAGTTGCAGGTGGTCATTTTGGAGGTCGATTCAAGAGTTTATTTGAAATAGTCAGTTCATCGTTTCCCTTGTTCCTCCTTTTTGTTAATTGGGTTTCCTCCACTGTTTCTCATCGGTTTCATGTGAGATGATCTCTTCCCAGAAAGTAACCTGGTTATTTGATATAATGTTGTCAGAACTCTGTCTCTCCTACCTGCAGCCTGTTCTGCTTCACTTGCCAGTGTGTTGTAGAAGTGTCTTTTGTCTTTCCGCGGACTCTTCTTCACTTCTCTGTCCAGTGTAGTATTTTATAGGTTGTATTCAGTTCTTCCTTTCGTTTTTCATTCCTGCCTCCACTGGTTCATCTTCTGCTTCACCATCTTTCTCTCCCTGCTCTATCAGCTTCCATGTGTCCGTCGAGATCCATTCATTGTCTTGCCTCTTCTTCCTTCACAACACGATTTTGCAGTTTTCTTCCTACATAGGTTTCAAAGAGTTCCAGTGTTCTTCGACGCAGGTTTCTACAGGAATGTTGCTTAATGTCTTTCATTTTGTCCTGATGAAGTCAGTCTGATTTTTAATGTGTCCTGGTGTCTGGTGAAATCCATGTCGCTACCTTGTGAATATTCTTGTGTGTGCACACATTGCCTGCAATCACCAAATCGTTGAATGCGCAGAAATCTGCAAACAGTTATCCACTCTCATCCACTTGCCCGAGCGCTTCTCAACCCATGATTAGTTCTCTTTCTGTGTTGTCCGCTCCCAGTCTGGCATTCATGTCGCCCAACCCACTGGAAGTTTGATGTCGCCAGCTGAAGTTATGTCTAGTACTGATTGGAGTTGTCGATAGAATACTTACTCCTTCTCTCGATCTGCATAATTTGTTGGCGCGTAACACTGAATAATTGTGACTTTCCTTCTTTTTGAGTTGAACCCATCTCTCAACCATGATGTTACTGGAGGATATTGGTTCCCACTGCATGAAAGCCTTCGAAGGTGTTGAGGACATCATGATAGCCATTTGAAAACTCAGTGTGCTCGAGGTTGTCGTCTGGGTGACAATACTGGAGTAGATTATTGGCTGTGCATTTAACAGTTTGGAGAGTCCACTTCCATTCCATGTACTTTCTCAGATTCCTAGCACTTGTATGCCATACCTTCTCATCTGTTTGGCAATCTTTGCAGCCTTGAAAGCTAGCTTCAAATAGTGTGATGACATTCCTTGTCCCCATGTTTACCTTCGCTTTCATCGAGAGAGGAGGAGACACAATGGCCAACTGGGTTGCTGAAGGCAGGCTTTCGCCAACCGATGTCATTTTGTCTCCTCGATTCCAGCGAGGAATATTCTATTTTTATGTTTTTTGTGCTTTGCAGCTTTTTCAGCTGTTGGATCGGTTTTATGGTGTAGGATTACAAACCGTATGCCAACCTTTCTTTTTTATCTGGGCTCAGGATCGGCTATAAACGTATGAACCAGTAAACTAAGCGAGGTTATTCAGGTACTTTGCCGGAGTATAATCGCAAATTATCTAGTCGATAAGGACTGTTTATGTGTTTTATCAAGTAATCGTATTTCATTTGATATGGCTTAGTCACAGAGATACAATTGTTATTAAGATTAATCATTTGTATTTAGGAATAAAGATCTACAATTTTTTGATTACTTGGGTAAACATTTACTGCTGTGCCTCAGGCTCTTGTCATTCTTTGAATTTTAAGAAGCATTTCTTGAATCGATGAGGAATTTTCATTGCCACGGTAAACTACATGTGCGGTAAGTGTATCATATAGCTAGCACCTTTTCAGTAAACTACCTTTCTTGTATCTTGCATACGTTCTCACAAACATTTTAGACTCATGAAGACTCTGCAGTGAAAATAGTCTAACACTCAAATCCTTGTATGGCAGTGGAAACTTTAGGTTTGTGTTACTCTAAGAATATTCCTAAATCGTCTAGGGTGAGTTCGCTAAAGTTAGGATTGAAGTATACCACCAATGTTGCATAAACAAACATTCTGGTTTTTCTCCACTAATTACTTCTTTTCCCACCTACAGATTTGCAACAACAGTGACAAAGAAAGGTGGGAATTCTCAAATGAGTGATACAAATGCTTACTTTTTAACACTTACTCAAGTTCGTCTCCTGCTGCTTCTATTAGATGCCATAATCATACTGGCCAGATGCTGTCAAACCTTTGAATTTATGCGCAATATATGGTTTGGTGGCACAAGGTTAATCAATCCTCATCAGTCAGTCCGTAGTATTAATGAAAATTCACAAGTTATGCTCGAGCAATTTGATACTTCAGGTCAATCACAACAACCACATATTTCTGGGACTCATCAGTCCAATCATCACTATCATCTTCAAGAAAACATACGATCACCAAGACGCATTCCATTACCTATAGGATCTTCACCGTTCTTGCATCCTGCTTCATGTTCATCAAGTATACATGAACCAAATCATCACACAGTCCAAATTGTATGTTGCATTGTATCGTCCTTCTTAGAAAATGCTTTCATTTTACATGTTCTTGATATTATTCTTGATTGTAGCTCGAACACGTATACGTTTTCTTCTCTTTTAGCTCTCTACGAAATAGCGTTTAATCACTCTTTTCTATTTCTTATTGTGCAGACAGGTGACTGGTACTTAGTGTTTCTAACGTCTGTTTTGGAATACATGAGAAGTATCTTGCATAGATTCGTTAGATTAGGCTGATTTCCTTGAAGTTATTCGATTCTATCAAGTCAAATTTTGATCTTGAAGTTTAAAGAAGTAATAATTGTTTGTGAATTGAAGGTGAATAGTATCGATAAATAACGACACGCAAAGAAAATCGAACAATGAATTCCACTAGAATCAGAAGATTTGTTAACATTACAGTAAAATAACAGCAGTAAAAGTAAATCAGCAAATAGTCCATTTAGTTAATGTTACATCAAACAGTAGAAACTTTAGAAAAGTTAATTACCAGTGAGAAACCCCTTTTAGCTGTTGAGTATGTCGTGCTTGGCGTTAATATAAGTTTATTAACTACATTTAGCTTGTGGGTAACCACTAAAGTTTTGACTTCAGCACTAAGCTATTCAGGTTCTAATCACCGACGTTACACCAGTTTCCTCTGGGTTGATGAGTACGAACAAGCAGGAAACCTTGTTCCAAGGCTTCCTGTCAGCTGATTCTGAGTATCTCGTGATGTAAATTTTTCAGTTAACTGCTTACACTTAGATTCAGTAGTGATTCGACTGTTTTTAGACGAAGTCGCTACCTTTGAGTGTTTCATATCTATGAAATGAACGTAAACATTTTTCATAGTGTTACGTTTTTTTATTTGAATGGTATACTTTAGCCTCATACAGTCACTCAACTCAGAGATAAATATTTTTTGGTAACTCGAAGTTAAATCAACATTTCCGAAAAAAAACTCAAGAGGGACTAAGTTTGCCATTCATCCGATACTCACAGGGATGCAAGTTAAGCAGAGGAATTCAAGTGTTCTCAGTCTTGTAGGGGTACATACCGCCTAAAAGGTGTCCTCAAGATCATAAAATGCAGTGGTTGGAAATTTATGGTGATGAAATGGTTTAAAGTCTATTAAAATGGAGTAAATGTATATACATTTCATCAGCTTCGAATTTTTAACATTTTACTTACCTTCATTTATTTATTCAGTCTCATACTCTCTTACAGACTGCCTCACCATTCTTCCCCTTAGCGCTTTCTCTTTGTGTACTGTTATGAGGTTTAGGAAACACTCCCTTGCGCTGCTCAAATTTTTTTTGTCTGTCAAAAATCCCACTGAGATTCTCATTTGAAACAGTGTTTATATCATTACTCTACATCTGCCTGAAGTAATATTTGGCAGTGATTACTAGATAAAGTGTATGACTTCGATTATTCTAGTAGACGTAGAAATACTGTCCGTAACAATACTTCTATGAAAAGAATTCTTTCTCAGTTGAAACTTGACTTTTTAAAAACATTGTTATTTTGAAAAAAATTTTCATACGAATGAAAATACTTGTTCGATGAAACTAGCTGCATGTAAAACGCGCATTTCTGGAGTGCTTTCTGAACGGTAAACCCTCATCTCCTGACTAGAACAGTGAAGATTACTTGCTTAAAGTATTAAGAATAAATCTGCGTTCAACTCAGTTTCAAAATAAAACAAGAAAAAACTTAAAATTCTCTAGATACATGATCTTTCAAATCATAACCAAAATGAGTCGCTTTGAACTACAGAAGCCACTATTTTAATGGATGATAATACCTTTCAAAGTGTCTTTACATAACAGAATTTCAGCTCCACCCAGAACCGCTTTCTCTCAGATAGCAGCCAACGAGGATTCAGGAATAAAACTGAGTCGGTCGATTTCTTCAGAAGCAGTCATAAAACCACTAATTCATAATCTTTAATAGTAGTAAACTGAATAACTATTAGTGCTAGTAATGAACTAGCATATACTGCAGTGGTCTTGAACAAAAAAGAATGTCTGAGTAAACGGCTGTGATAGATATTGCATCTTTTACTTCAAGAATAAATTAGCCTAGCTGTCATTCAAATTCGACGAAGACTTTTCTCCATCCCTAAGTAACATGAGACTATAAAGTTTATTCATTTTAAGCCTACTGTATTTATTGATCAAATAAGCACTGAAACCCATCACTTTTTGTATATCTGGGTTTACAGGAGTTCCAGACGTCAACAAATGGAAATTATAACGAATCGGCGGTTGTGAATCAAGCTGTTCGCTTAAGTGAATATGAAAGGAAGTCATCAACTGGCATCAATCAAAGTAGCAGCTCATCAACTTTAAACTTTGATAATGGAACTGGCGTTTTACTGCGTGTTACTGTTGTCTGGATGCTCATTATCTACTAGTTATAACTGGTATTGGTCTGTTGTTCATTGGAATCGTCTTGCTTTGGGCTACTGACCGGCATATTCGACCAGGATGGTTATTGGCAAAGTAAGTCTCTCCAGTGTATGATTCGGTGGAAATTGTTTATAAGTGAAAAATATGTGTTGAAGCAACACCTTTTTGAGTAAGAGAAATGCCAAGACTTGCTGAATATGGAGACAAAGAACACATTTAATTGTGGTCAAACAGCTAATCATGTGCAGGAATGATTGAAGACAGGATCAAATAGACCTATGCCTTCATGGTAAACTTTTGCTCAACAAACATTTACTTTTAGCCTTAGTCTGAAAAATAATGATGTTCATTGTTTTGTATGCAAACGCTAGTAGCCTAAAAAAAACCTGACGGCTTACGCATCTATGCATAATTGTGAGAAACATGGTTTTGTCTACTGTAAAAATTGTGATAAAAGTTAAAAGTAGACGATAACATTTGAAAAGTCTCGAAAAACGGGTATTAAGCTAATCGGTGGAACTCGTATCTGAATTGTTAGATGGATTACTGATGAGATACGTCATAGTTGACTTGTTTGTACCTGATTTAAACCAACACAGTCATCTATACGACATGGATAACCAGTGATGAATATCCGAGCACTTCAATTCCTAGTATTTTGCTAATAGTACGCTTAAGCTGGAGATGGCTGCAACTGTTTATATAAATCACTGTTATCAGCCATAGCAAATGCAGCATAATTCAATTAGGTATGTATAAGTGCATCTTAACTGGAACTTTCATCGGTTGGCATTCATCATGGACAGACAACACCTGGAGGAACATCTGAAACCTTGCGTTGCTGTTTTATCCTAGTATGGGTCTCCTCAGCAGTGAGCACCCATAACCTGGTCAGGGATCGAACCCAGGACGCTCAAGTTCCGTGGCCACTATGTTACCATATAGCCACTGGGTCTGAATCCAATGACCTACTTTTTTTACTTCCTACTTAAATCATTTAATCATTACCAGACCGTGCAGCAATAGACAATACTTATTTTTTTTCTGGAGATTGCAAGGTGCAACCAGATATGCAAGTTGTAGGACTAATATGGTCAAATACAGAGGTCAAAGTAGTTGACTAGGGTCAATCTAACCACAGAAACCCAAAAACCGAGCTAGGTTGAAACAGACAGATCTTAGCAAGAAGTTTACAAACGTTCTCGGCCTTAGCTGTCCAAACAGTAACACAAAACCCCTGAATAGGACGCGAAAGGATGAAAATCGTTAAAACCAACATAGCGACGTGGAGGGAGAGATTGTTTACTCAACTTTCGCTTAACAAACAAACACCCAATACATGCGACGGGAATGACTCACCATCTGTTCCGAATATAAGGAAATTCTTACTTAATCCAGTAAGTAATGCTGTTCGATTGGGTGATACAACAACTAAATCATTTAAAAGGAATATTATTCTACAACAGTGCTCAAGTTTTACTCTTATACTACCAGACTACTGATTCAACAGTTCAGTAAAACCCTCGGTAACTGATTTCGTCAACTTTGTAGCTGCAGAGACAGATCTCAGAGTGAACTATGGTTCACTATAATATTCAGCTTTCATCGTTATAAACATTACTAATATTGTCGCTCAGAAGTGAAATGACAGTCAGTCCATTTCATTTCATCCACTGATTTCTATTTTTACTATCTTAGTAATCTAAAACAGTTATCCTCGTATACAAAGATTACAGGATATTTTTCCCTCACATGTATCATTTGTGAATTATTATAAGAAATGAATGCATTCCATGTCGATGAATAAGGTTTTTTTACCATTCCTGGTCTCATTATTTCCAAAATATCCAGTAATAGATAAGGTCAGACCTGTTTTGAGCCCAGAAAAACAAAAGTTCTCGGGATTATCTTTAGGCTGGAGAAACTTTCGGTAATTGTTCCTACATCCATTTAAAGTGCTCTGTAATACAGTTAAACGTAGCCAACACCATTTTCATCCCAGGTACAAATGAACGATAAATTCACGTTCATATTCCAAAATAAGACAACGGTCTTATTCTGTTGTCATCTGGAATGTGCCTGCAGTTATAATTGCAACTTATTCCCTTGTTTAAAGCCCGGAGAGACAATATATAATCGATAGATGGTGATAATAATAAAGTATAGATACCATGTGAATCAATTTTCGTCAGACTAGTGTGACGAACACTTATGCTGACGGAGAACGTCACTCAATGTCTAAAGTGAATGACTCAGTATCGGATGTTTCAATTTGATTCACGAAATAACCATCACTTAGTGTTAACTTTTTCATGAACTCAGAATCAGCAAACTCTGACAGAGAAGATAAACAAAGAGCATTAAACAAAAGATGAGCCGTTATTAACCACTTCCACATTGACCTAAAAGCCTTAATCTCCATTTTAAAGGATTGTTTTTTAGCTATATGCCGGTCAAAACGAATGTTTGCTACACTCGAATACATCCTGCTTTGCCGAATTCATATGCGAAAAAGTGAATTTGAAGTTAAAAACAGAAAGTAAAGATGGACATTGAGTTAAATTAGACAAATTATGGCAGTATTAGGAATATTAAAGATTACTTCTAAGACATAATTATGTGAAGAGTTAGTCTTGATAACAAGTTCTAGCCTTTTGGGAAAGTGTGGTTATAACGACAACTATTACGGTGATGAAGTGGGGAAAGATGGGATGTTATGGATGCATTAGAATGCTACAAAAGTAGAGTGCTTGAGATAACGAAGAAAAAGTATCTCACATGTTTGCTTTTACCAGAATGAAAAGGTGCTTGTGTAATTAACTGGAACAAAAACAGCACTTCATTGAGAACTTTTCCATAATAAAGACTTGATTTAGCTTGAGTTGAAGAAAGTGGTTATAGTCACTGCAATAATAAACTAACATTACATGTTGACAAAAGGTGCCGAATAAAAATGTTTAGTTAATCTTGGAAAACTATGTATACACTGAGTAAGTTAAGACGAACAGAACAGAAATGCGTAAGAAAGTGAAGTTCTACGTGGAGATTTTTGAAGTAAACCTGTAGTACGATCATTTATCAGGCGATCAGAAATTAGCAGAGAGATATGGAAAAAGATTTATGATCAGTGGACCGATGAACCCTTTAAAAGTTATGGTCTAGACTATTAAACTTTCAACACCGTTATGCTCAACTATACCCTTATAAAATGCATCTTAAAAGTCAGTTCAGTGTGATCCCTCACGTCCCCTTGTTCGATACAATTTAATCTGCTCGACCACGTCGTTCATTATTTTGGTGATGATATGAAACTTAGTAGGTAGAAAAAATTGCCTTGAAATGGTTACAAACAGCCATCTCAGACACTACCATAAGTGAATTACTTCCTATCTTGGAACCGTTCCACAGACATTATTCTCTATCTGTGTGGAAATCGCAGTAGTACCCAGGGAGAGTATTTTATCCCAGTATGATAATATTCTGTTTGAGATCTCAGCCCTTCCCTGCAAGCGCCTGATAATTATATTTTAGGCCTTTGAGTTTTACGAGCAACCACTTTTACGGAGTTTAAAAAAGTAAGTGTTTTGCGGGAGTTTCAGTGGAAATATCATCGCTTACTAGTATGTAGGTTCATCCAACTGACAAGTAGAAAGCAGGACGAAATTTGTATCCTAAGTGTAAACGCCAGCGAATTACATCATACTGGAAACTGATGCAGTAATGAGGAAATCATCCGTGCCGACCGTATGCCAACAGAAATTGATCTAATACGGTGGTCAGCCGCAAATTAAAATCACTGACAAATTAATTTCATGAATTTGTTAACTCATATACAGTGTTATTTAAATTTCTTGAATCAATTCGTCATTTTTAAAATTTTACTGGCTATTCACCTCAGACTCTTTTTTCCTCGAAAATCATATGATAAAGGATATTCAATCCATCTGGGAAATCAAATAAACAAAACACTTCTAGGTTGTATAAATTATCCCTGGGGAATTTTCGAATGTAAAACATAACATTTCCATGATTTATTTGGTTTATAATTTATTAAGATATTAAACGAATATTGTTTGTTCATCCAAGAATTATGTATATCACGAAACTCTGTCAAATCTTCGATTAACAGAAAACTGATTTTTTAACACCTAAATCTGTCTGCTTACTGGGATTCATCGGTGACGTTTATAGTTTTTACTTTCTTGGTGATTACATCAAATCAATGGTGGACACAGATAGGTCACATTTCTCTCAGGTACCTTTGAGGAGAATCGGTGCAGAATTACCACTTTTTCCGGAATACTTGTTTGACCTCCAACCACGCGTTAGTGCAAGTACATGTATGTTTGCCCCTTAATAGTTAAAGAAAACCGGTAGCAACGAAGCCCTTATGTACTCAATCAGAAGATAAGAACGTCAGTTCCTTATTTAGGGAAGAGATAGCTAGGTATTTAGTTTGACTTGACACTAATTTTCATCGAGATAAAGCCTGATGTTACACTCAGTCTGCTGTAGAGATCTCGGTAAAGAACCTTGGTTACCAAAAGGTTACAAAAAGCCACTGGATTTCCACAGTCTCATTCTAACTGGCTGAAACAAGAAAAGTTATTCTAGTTTGCTGCAGCCACGATGAGCAGCGAAAGCAACTTAAACGTAAAATCACGTGAAGCTTTTTCAATGATCGAGAATAGCGGCGGGTTGCGAAAGCAAGAGAGATGGAGGAATCAGTATAAATTAGGACTTAGAAATTATTAAGGCTTTTGAAAAAAACTGGCAAGAAGAAGACCATGGTTAGTGAGAAGATTACCGAGAAGAATGTTCTCATGATAAACTCTCAGTTCAAAAGGCTATAATGTTGAATGAAACATTCTCGAGCATAGTTCAAAGTAGCTGAAACTCAGTCACAATAGGACGGATGTATTCACTATTGGGCATCTTCTTAAAGTTTAAGATTTTCACTAACTTTGGTTCTCACTGTTTTCCTTTGAATGCATTTGTCTCTTTTAATTTCGTTTTTTTTCTAACCACTTGTTCTGCCCATACTCCTTTAAAGCGTGATAACTTGAACCAATGTACTTGTGTGAGGTTCTATA